AACCGACCAACTTTAGTCCGCAGTGTGACGACTCGGCTCTCCAAGCGTCTCATCCATGCGGGTTTTTGTAAGTTGGGGCGAGCATGACCTTCACCGTCTCCTTGCGGATATGTACGTAATCCCAACGCTTGTACAGCAGCCTCAGATGCAGGGTATACTATGAAGTGCAGGTCCTCAACGTACTCAACGGCTTCCAAGTACTGTGGCAAAATAGTCCTGTTGAGAATGCTTACTGCACTCGTTAGTCGGTAGTAATACCAACCAGTGGAAACTAACGATTTTAAATTGGCTCACTACTTGACTAGCCTATTGGTCCCAAGCAAATCGATTAACGTACCCCATTCTAGTCGAAATTCTAGTACTTAACTATGTTTGTTTTGATTTGCTATGAAAGTTTGACAGATAAAATGAAGGGTTCTGGATTTTCCTATGTTTCGAGGGGTGCATCGATTAGCTTGGGACCGAAGAGAGTACCAGAGCTGAGTCAAAAAGCTAAGCACGTTTCTTCGGGACCTTCTAGTCTTAGAGTTACCTCCATGGTAATACGGCAGCTTTAGTATCCTATGCCGGGGCATGGGATCTGTCCCTTGGAAATGTGTAACCGCTGCTCCTATATGAAAAGGTAGATCGTCTCGTAGTTGCAGTCGTTGTTTTGTTCACTGCTTGTTCTGGCGCGGCTCGCTCCTCCGTTGACATGTTTACCGCTGCAATTGACTCACGTCTCTTTCTTGCAATTGATGTATCCAGCCCAACAGAACTCTTTCTCGATGTATTGCTCGATTTACTCTCTTCCCTCCGCACTTCCAGCTTGATGCACTCTACCTGTTCCGGTCCGGTCCGGTTCCGGTTGGCAAATCGAGGGAACTGCTCGTTGAATACCACCAGCATCCAGCAAGGGGCAAAGAGCCTGGTCGCAAGTGTAATCTTGGTGACCAATTTTACACCTTCCATGCAGTATAGATAGATATAGATAAGATGGCATGTAGATAATGGCATGAAGATAATTAAATCTCAACATAGAAGCATAGATGCATAGCTGAAGATTAAGAGAAAGATGAGAAAAACGTATCAAAAACAGAATTAGGAGTCATATAGATTAAGTGAGCATGTTTAAGTATCGTTGATCCAGTTACATTCTGATGAAGATGATACTACATTGATGTATAGACCTGATCCTCTAACAATTCGCTCGTTCTTAGGAGAGGCTCTATGGTTGTTTGAATACGGATGAAGTTGTTGCCAAATTCCTGAAACCCAGAGGACGGCCTTTGTCAGCACTGTCCTTCGTTCAAGGTTGGAGTCAATCTCGAAATGAAGACAAAAGCGATGGATCCTTCGTCTTGGCCACAAGGTATCGAATTTCGGAAATTTGTTGAAGATGAAAGGAGAACGCAAAATTTTTGGAAACCGGTACTGTACATAGATTCTGGTCCAATGAGCAACGCCTAGAGTAAGCTGAACCAAGCACCTCGCCTAACCTAGCGTCTTGCGACCCTGCCAACTTTCGCACATATTGGACCGTATATTATCAAAACGTCCGAGGCTTGAGGACAAAAACTAACGTTCTACTCCATTCGCTGCTTTCTTGTGATTTCGACATGGTGGTATTCACTGAAACCTGGCTTCATACCGACATTACGAATGCTGAACTCGCACGCAACTACACAATCTACCGCTGTGACCTGAATTCTCGTACCAGCGCACTGCGACGTGGTGGTGGCGTCTTAATTGCCGTGAAATCCGAGCTGAAGTGTAAGACTGTGCATCTTGTAGGCATTGAGAACCTCGAACAAATTGCTGTTCAAGTCGATTTACAACATCAATCGATCTTCCTGTGCTGCATCTATATTCGACCAAACAGTCAGCCCGACATTTACACCAAACACGCTGAGTCCGTACAACAGCTCCTTGGTATGGCGAACCCTCACGTTAAAACCATAGTTGTGGGCAATTACAATCTGCCAAATCTAGCTTGGGACTTCGATGAGGACGTCAGAGGATTTCTGCCTCTCAATGCTTCATCAGAACAGGAACCACCCTCTGCAATTATGAAAGTTGATTGTCACCACAAGCCGTTGGTTCTAAAAGTTGACTCCCGTTTGAGAGATCCTCCGCTCCCGTACCCAGCAGCCCGCAGTGAGTATAATTTTGCACAATGTGATTTCGATGTTGTTAACACGAGGATTGCCGCCTTGGATTGGGTACAAATACTTGACCAACCCACCATTGATGCCGCCGTCTCCGTATTCTACGACAACATCTATAAAGTAATCCAAGATACTGTTCCGGTGAAGACACGAAAATCTTGTTTGTAATTCCAACAACCTTGGTGGAATCCGCAATTGCGTAATCTGCGTAAAGCTCGAAAACGTTACTTTCGTTCCCGGACCGCAGCAAACAAGTATACGGTGCAGCTAGTAGAAGCAGAATATAATAGTTTGCAGGAAGCTCGCTTTCGTGAGTACGTCGACAACCTCCAGAGGGGTTTCAAGGAAAATCCATCGTCGTTCTAGTCTTTTATCAACTCTCGGAAAAGATCAGCTGGTATTCCCGTGGACGTCACCTACGGTAGTAGAAGCTCCACCACTGACACCGCTTCTGCTGACCTTTTCACTGACTTTTTCCGAAGTGTTTTCGAACCCGATCAAACTCCTCCACCACAGCAGTACATTGATCAGTTACCAAGATACGACATTCACCTGCAGCAGCTCATCTTCAGTCAAGACGCTATTCTCATAGCCCTTTGCTCAGTCGATACATCGAAAGGTCCAGGCCCGAACCGTATTCCACCGTCTTTCGTCAAGAACTGTGCAGCATCGTTGGCCACTCCCGTTATGTCTATTTTCAATCGATCGCTTAAGGATGGCGTTTTTCCGGATGCCTGGAAGCTCGCCTCAATTACACCAATCTTCAAGTCCGGTGACATGCACAAAGTGGAAAATTACGACCTATCTCGATCCTGAACTGCTTGGTCTTCCACCGTGGATCGTAGGTTGGTTGAAATCATACTTATCATCCAGGAAGGCTTTCGTTAAGGTACGTGATTCCAGATCCGAGGTATTCCATATACCATCGGGGGTACCACAAGGGAGTCACCTAGGACCTCGTATTTCGTTCTGTTTATTAACGACGTGTGTGATATGCTAAGTTCCTGTAAGTTGCTATATGCGGGTGATCTTAAGCTGTACCGTGTGATCAAATCGATCGTGGATTGTTCCGCACTACAAGCTGATATAGAGCGATTGTCATCCTGGTGTCAGATGAATGGAATGCAAGCCAATGCTGCCAAATGCAAAGTGATTACCGTTACCCGCTCTCACTCTCCGATCATTTTTGATTACTCTATGAATCAATCGCCGCTGAAAAGGGTTAATGCCATTAAGGATCTTGGGTTCATCATGAACGGTTTAACGAGCACATATCCATGACAGTTGCAAAGGCCAACTCCATGCTAGGATTTTTGCGCCGCAATACTGCACAATTCGACGACGTGTACGCCCTAAAAGCGCTGTACTGCTTTATGGTTCGCAGTGTTCTTGAATATGGAGTACAAATTTGGGCTCCATATCATGCTGTCCATGTACTGCGCATCGAGATAATCCAGAAACAGTTTATAAAGTTTGCATTACGACGTCTGCCATGGACAAATCCAGATTGCTTACCTCCGTACGAGCATAGATGTGCGCTTATTGGACTGCAAACACTAAGAAATCGCCGAGTCGGGAACATCAATTTCCACACTTCAGCTCGCCGACTCCGCAACTATTACTTTCTGTGTACTCCCGGACATCGTACTGCTTACGGTTATAACAATCCTCTCGATAGATGTTGCAGACTGTTTAATGATGTGTGTGATGTTATTGATTTTAATATTAGTAGACCAGTTTTTAAGAATAGGATTAAGTCACTTTAAACAGTCTGTATGGCTAAAATATCAAAGATGGTGGTTAAATAAATAAATAAATAAAGTCTGGTACCATACCGCCATATTATCTAGCCATCTTCAGGATTCGGGGTCAATATCAAAGTATTCGTAACTTCAGAATCTTTTGGAGCTTCGAGAACATTCGAAATTTTAGGAAATAAGGAATGGTCCTGAAACTCTGGAAAGTACCAGCTCTGTAAACTTTCTGACCCATGGGAGCTCCCAGAATGTCATGATCTCGTGCAATGAACCATCATAGCTCAAGTTATTGAGGTAACAAAAGGAACCTCTGAAATTCAAAACAAGTTTTTGGATTTTGGAAAGTCCTTGAGAGCTGCAGAAACTGAAGTAACTCTCCAAAATCTTCCATTACTTTTAGAACTCCTCACAAATACATGATTTCTCTACTCCTGAAGTTTAGAGGACTGTGAAACTTGAGGAAATGCTGGAACTCTTCAAACGCTAACATAATTTGTCGGTATCACTCTGCTTCGGGTACTTTCAGAACTCTCGAAACTTAAGAAACTTTCCATGTTTCTGGACGTTGAGAATTTCTGGGCATTTAATAAACTTCTGGAACTGCCTTTGACTACTCTCAAATATTAAGGTTTTCTATATTTCAAGAGTTCTTTCAGTTCAGTTTCGGTAGTTTTGGAAATGCGTAAAGTTCCCGGAGCTCCAGAACGCCGAAAAGAATCCGAATTGCTGACACATGCGTAGGGTTCTAGAGATTCCGAGAAAATCGGAGTTGCCGGAGAAATGAGAGTGCTTTTTATTCCGGAAATTCCAATTGTTTTGGGTGAGGAGTTCAATATTCGAACGATCTAAATTGTCCAGAGTTTTGGGAGTTTCGGAACATTGATGTGATATTAAAATTCCCGCAGCTCAGGCAGTTCTCGCTGGACTTTTTAAAATTGATGAACCGTGAAGTTAAATAAAACACTCTCTAAAATCTCCATAATTCTTGTTAATTAAATCTTATTTCAAATTTAACATGACGTTGTCCGAGCTTTGTAGAAAACTAGTAGGGAACTCATAACAAAACTTAATTTGCGATTTAACTTATTTTCCACAGACAACGGACACCTTTAAGCTGCCGCTTCGCTTCGTTTGGGGAGTCCAACCTGTCGATCGGGGCAACTTTCTCGATCCGGAAAAACGAGGCTCGCTGTACTTCGACGAGAGCTTCAACATGAGTGCCCCCGAGTCGCAACAGTGGCTGCTGGGGTTCTGCAAAAGCCTGAAGAATCAGACGTTCTACCAAATGAGTTACGGACTGCTGCTGCCGAACTGTTTCATCGAGAACTTTATCAACTGGATGTCCCGTCGGTGTAACGATTCAATGGGCGAGATCGATAGGACACCGTGCTGCGAAGTGTCGCCGTTTCCATTCGCTCCGGAAGTGTTCGATCAGTGTTTACCGGAGTCGATATCTAGCTTGTATGAAACGCCGCGGGAGTTCTTCATTCCTGGTGTGGCGGGGCCGAAGTTTGCGCGGCAGTCGTTTGGCAATGGGAGCGGCCTGCCCCAGGTGAAAGCTGTGGTAATCGAGTACGAGAGCAATCAGGTATTTACGATGTCATATTCCGAGATTGATAGCTTTGTGCGCACAGTGGAGGCATGGTTTGGGAAAATGTTAGAGGATGCCCCCTCGGGGATGCGGAGCGCGTGGTTCATCAGCGAGTTAGAGTTTTTCGACCTGCAGGATACGTTGTCCACGGGGACGATGGTGGCGATTTGTATGGCGATGGCCGTAGCGCTTCTGGTTTTGCTGCTAGTGACTCTGAATGTGTTGATTAGTTTGTACGCGATAGTGACCGTTACGTTTACGATTCTGACGACGGTGGCCGTTCTAGTGCTGCTGGGTTGGAAGTTAAATGTGCTAGAAAGTGTAGCCGTCAGTACGGCGATAGGTTTAGCGGTAGATTTTAGCTTACATTATGGCGTTCATTATAGACTGTCGACCGATTCGGATCGGAAATCGTCGGCGCATTTTTCGCTGACCAGAATGATTGGTCCAACGGCGATGGCAGCGATCACTACCGGCATCGCGGGAGCACTGATGCTTCCGTCTAGCGTATTGGCTTACATTCAGATAGGGGTGTTTCTCGTTATCGTTATGTCCATCAGTTGGATCTATGCGACCTTCTTCCTGATGAGTTTGCTGACGGTTATTGGGCCGCAGTACGGCTTCGGGCAGTTTCGGTATCCGAAGCTGCGGGGGGCACTGCGTGACAGTGGCAAAACACAGATGGATGGACCGAATCGGTTGAACCACCATAACCAGAATACGGTTTCCGAGCAGCTGCTGTCGAATTCGAGCTCGGCAGCAGGCGAACTGGTGGGCTCGGAATCGCACGAACTCGACTCACTGACGTCCAATTCCATAATCAAACCTATAAATTTGGACATCTCGAGGCCGATCAACTTTGATCGAGCGTTCAAGAAGAAGTATTCGCTGCCGCGGGAACATAGCCCATCGACGGCCAGTGCAATCACGGTCGTGCTGCCAGATGATGTGGATTTTAAGAATGGATAATGGGAACTGTAAGGGTAAGGGGCTCATTATGTGTCCGTTTTTTGTTTGTCACCGAAAGGGACACGGCTGGGTGAAGCGATCAACATGACTACAGTTGACTCGGAAATGTTGGAAATTGTGGAACTGTGTATGCTTGCTCGTCAGTTTGTTGTAGTATAGCCGATAATTTCGGCGTTGAATGTGGCGGATAGTCAATGCAAAGATTCTGTAAACGAGTGCAATTTTTACAACTAACAATATGCTTTTTCTTTTTGAGAATTTCTTCTCTAAACTGTCATAATAAGGCAGCCAGTCATCCCAATCCATTTGAAACTCACTGGTAAACTGTCTTATACCTATATTCGTTTAAACAACGCTGATTCCTTTAGAGGCTTCCAATAATTTTTGGGTGATATGGCGTAGAAAATGAGTGTGTGAATTGTAGCATATCGGAAACTCTATCGAATATTTCATTCTTATACTCGGCTCTTTCGTCTATTCTGATTGTTGAAGGTGTGCCGTACCTATATTAGAATGCAATATTTTCGTTTGTTTGTCGTTTATTGGTTTAGATATTATTCTTGCAAATGCTCATTACAGCTAAAATGCTATTTTTCGGATTTATGAAGCTATGAAATGTTTTAATGATAATTCCTATTTATAAGATGCAAGTAGAGCAGGTAAAGTGTGTGTTTGACACATAAAACCTGTCAATTTAGCTTCCACAGTGTCACAATGAGCAACGTGATGAGCGAGCAATCAGCGATCAATACCATCGCTAGCTGAGACCTTCTGAAAGCAAAATTGACAATTTTTTTATGTCATACACAAACTTTGCCACCTATTCTTGCTTCTTACAAATAAAAATTACCATTATAGTATCTCATAGTTTCATAATTACGAAAAATGGCATTTTAGCTGCAATGAGCAATTGCAAGCCTGTGGATAAGCCAAATTGAATTTTTAGGGCATATTAGAGAGGGTCTAGTATAAGAGAGGAGCGGATTCAAAACAAACTGCCTTGGCAACCTATGCCTAGGTGATTTCATGCAACACTGCCAATGCAATCAAGATAGGCGCTGCTCGATTGGCTCCGGCAAATGGCGACCGTGACAGGACATTTGATATCTTTTGATATCATTCGATTATGCGCGTGCACGCTGGGGCAAATACGGGACTTCTCAACTTGGCGAAGCCTAGAATTATTCTGTCAGGGACATGATAGGTTTTTTTTAAATGTTGATCGATGCCCGCTGGCCTTCTTATCGTTTGCTGACTCCACATTCTGGATCGGTCGTTGACAATTATCGCTGACTCGTCGGTCACTCGTCCGGTCTGCCTGTTGGTGTGGTGAAGAATGGACGTCCTCGGCCATAATAGCTGTATGTTGCGATTCCTGTGGTGTTCGTTGAACTCTCATTTGGTTTGGTAAACGAATTTTCAGTACTAATTTCCTTTTCCTGACACAAATGTATATTATTATTCCGATGATGGTTATTGTCACCGTTGAAAGTCCATTTAATGTGGTCAAAATCCAAATATGTTGTTAGTACTTTTTAAAACTGATGTGATTTTTAAATTTGCGAAAGCTCAATCAATCTTTTGGCTGTAGTTTTTTAATCTAGTTCGTTTATTTGTAAGGCTCAATCGCGTTAGCTTTACGGAGCCGATAATTCTTTGTTCTTTGTTTGTAGCAAAATTCACTTAATCCTATGTCTAGTAGGAGTTGGGCCGAATATTCGCGGCTTACCCGAGGTTAGAGGGGTACATTGTCGATGGATAGGGTCAGGGGAGGAGCTTGGGGGTAGGGTTTCGTTGTCTCATCAGAGCGATGTCGCCAGTATGAACGGTAGTGTGGTTCTAGATTCGTCTGGAGTTCGACCGGCTATGGTGACTAGAGGGCGACGATGAGACTCATCGAGACGGGGGACAAGACAAACAACTTGGCTGTAGTTGTTGATGATTTCTTTGCTAGTTAATCTTTGAACGCTTGTATACATGGTACAATTGTTGAAGGTAATTAGGCAATTTCCCGTTAATTGTGGCCCGCAATCTTAGGAAATCATTAGGTCTTTTACATTATTGATTATCAATTTGTTGTTTGCTAACATCATGACTTGTGAATTAGTTCTTTGGTACATTTGCTTTCTGTACCTTTTGATGATAGGTAGTAGGTAGTTTTTCTCATGTAATGGAATTATTCTAAAAAAAATGCCTTTCTCCAGTGGTCTATTACAAATTTTGTTAATAAATTTATTATTCTTTTTTTTATAAATTTTTATTTTTTAAACTAGTAGTTCTAACCGAATTTTGCACTCCTCAGCGAATAGCTGGTACCTTTCACCTACCTCTTCTATTTACTTATTTTTTTAATGTCATAATTTTTTTTTAGAGTTTAGGCTCGGTGGAACACTATACTTGAGGCTATTTCACTTTTTTATGAGTCTATTTTTATGTACAATGATAGTACTTCCTGTTACTGTATGCTTGATTTCACAGTTAGGTTCGTTAATTGATATTACATAATATGGTCCGATATAAAATGAATCTAGATGGCTGTTTGTTTACCATTCTGGTAAATTTTAAGGAAATTTGTAATCTCATCAATATTGTAAGTTGGTTGGACAATAGTTGTCCTATTAAAATGGGGAAAGGGGTTTTCCTGCAGAATAGAGCTGAAGTTAGCTGTTCTGAAGACCAATTAGCTTTTGAAGAAATGAAATGAATATAATAATCAGCTGAATCTTCAGCTGAATGTACCGTGTCTAAATCGTTACCTTCGTCCATTTGCATCTTTATTATCGTCTTCTCCCTCTTGGTAGTGGGTTTCGAGATCGTTATGGTATTGTTTCGAGTAGTCCGTGACGTCTTCTTGGTTTTCCAATGGAATGGCTTGGTTTTGTACTTGGGGGTCTAAAATAGGAAAAATCGTTATTATTTTCCGTTTCGTTGTTATTGATAAAAGTGTTCAAAGTTGAGGGTGAATTATGTTAGTTACGCAAACTTGGGTTAAGTAAGCGTTTCTAAAAAGGAGTTCGGATTGAAACAACCTACAGGATAGATGGTCCAACTAGAACTGACTTATTTATCTCTATCACCCACCATGAACCCATAATGTTTACGCCTACATAATGAAAGGAATTCACAGTCTAAACAATAATAACACTTGCAATTGTTGCAATATGTTGCCATTGCTGGAATCGGGTGATGTTGATAGTGCGGAAACTGGATGGTTAAGACGACTGGTGATAACTTGTTCCTGGGTTTCGATGTCGTCTTCTACGTCATCTTCGCTGTCTAAAATAAAAGAAATGTTATTATCTTCGAATGCATAAGTATTAAATGTAAGCTCCCGGCTGAGGACGTCGGCTACTACGTTAGCCTTCCCTACCTAGTATATAACTTCATAATCGAATTCTCCCAGATCTAATCTCCACCTCAAAATTTTTGAATTCTTGAAAGAAGACTTTATAAAAGTGAGGGGTTTATGGACCGTTACAAGGGTAAATTTGCTTCCGTAAAGATACGGTTTATATTTTCCAACTGCCCACATGATGACAAGAGCTTCTTTTTCCGTTGTTGAATAATTGGTTTCCGTTTTATTTAACGTTCTACTTCCAAATGCAATTGGCCTTTCGGTACCATTTTGTATTTGAGAGAGTACGGCTCCCAGTGCATAATTACTAGCATCTTATTATGCCCTTTTACAAGTAAGCAGGCTCGCGGCATAATCAAAGAATGGATGCGGTGTCCTCATCTGTTTATCCCAGAGGGCAGAAGAGGATCGCAGAACCTTGGGGAATTTCTTTTCCTTTTAGCGGTGTCCAAACCTGTGTATCCCAAGTTGGGCAGGAGAGGATCGCTATCCAAAGTGATTCTTTGATCGAAAGTATCTGTCTTTATTAATCAACTGCTGGGGTTTATATACGGAGTTATTGTCATAATACATTTTATAATTTGTTGCATTGGCATGGTGTGATTTATATTTAATTACTGTAGGCAAAGTGAGATGCCTATAACGGTGTGACAATTCTATGTTTGTTTCATTGGTGTCAATGTGCTTGCTAGGCTATTAGCGTATTGAAAGATGTAACATGATCCGCGCATTCGGGTTCGCTGTTCTGGGTGTAGGAAAGGTAAATGAATAATTCTGTTTGTCAAGGCTATGGTAGAAGTGAACGCTACTGACGTGAGTGCAATTGCATGATATGCATTTTTCTGTCTTATCGGCAAATTTAGTAAGTTCAATTCTTACAGTGGTGTAAATGATTTAAGCTACATATGACACTACTATTAAAGTGCACGGTTTGTCGCACATTTCTAGTTTTAGGGTAATAAAGTTAGAATAATGCATATCCATATTGTAAATTTTTACGTCCTTGGGTGGGCAACCCCCTGTGTTCCGCTCGTCTCGGGTTGGGGTCGTCCCGATGACGGCTGATCGTTTTCATTTATTTATTTATTTATTTATGTCGTCAATCAATCGTAGACCAATAACAATGAATGCTTATTAACTATGTCTTAAATATTATTGCCTGGCTAACCTTGAAAAGAATGCTTTTTTTAGTGTTATTTTATTCATTGTTACATCAATTGATTGGGAATATGCGTTATAGCAGGTCATAATTCTATTCAAAGGCCCATTTTTAGCATAGTTTGTTCTTTGATTGTTAATGTAAAACAAATTCCTAATCCTCAGAGAGCGAGTGGGAGCATAAAAATTTATATTTTCTAAAATTTCCGGAACATTAACTCTTTGAGCAATAACATCGTTTATAAATGTTATCATGGCAAAGTCTCTTCGTTTTTTCAGTCCATCTAAACTTATTAACAAACATCGCGATTCATAAGATGGAAGTGGTAATCTCGTCCAACCTAATTTTCGAAGGGCAAACAACAAAAACTGTTTTTGAACAGACTCAATGCGGTTTATATATGTATCCTGATACGGAGCCCACACTACGCTACAGTATTCAAGAAGAGGTCTCACATAGGCCACATACAATGTTTTAATAGTGTAAGGATCATTAAAGTGCAGACTAAATCTTTTGATAAACCCTTGCATGTTACTTGCTTTATATATAATGTTATTGTAGTGATCAACAAATGACAACTTAGAGTCGAGAATAATGCCTAAGTCCCTTACTTGATTACACCTTTCAACTGTTTTCTCACCAAGGGAAATTGTGTCATTTACTAAGGCATGCTTTCTTGTAAACGATATAGAATTACATTTACTAACGTTAATCTCTAACAAATTCTTCACACTGTCAACTTCTTGCTGAAATAGCTGCATATCAGATGCTTTAGATATTTCCATGAAAAGTTTCATGTCGTCTGCATATATTGAAACATGAAGCAGCTTCAAAATGTATTCTATATAATTGACAAATAAGATGAATAGTAGTGGACCAAGATGCGAACCTTGTGGCACACCAGATGTTACATGAACGACAGACGACAATTTTCCTTCAAATCTTACTCTTTGCGTTCTCCTTGACAAGTATGACTCGATCCATTGCAGTAGCCTGGTATTAAAACCTAACTTGGACAACTTGAAAATCAACAGTGGTATATCCACTCTATCGAATGCTTTACTAAAATCAGTATATAATGTTTCTACGTAATTTCCCTTATCCATTACATTTAAAGCATATGTTACAAAATGTATCAAATTAGTGGCTGTAGATCGACCTTTAACAAATCCATGTTGTTTACTAGTAATGAGAGATTTAACTTGGGAAAATATGTTGGCATTAATGATGGACTCGAAAAGTTTGGGAATAGTAGATAATATAGCAATCCCGCGATAGTTTGTGATATCCGATTTTTTTCCCGTTTTTAAAAATCGGGATTTAGAAAGATTCCTTCCAAATCGGAGGCAGCATACTGGCGTTTAACGATGAATTAAACAACCAAAATAAAGGCTTTACTAATTAATTTGAAAGTGTTTTTAGAAGAATAGGTGGTAAACCATCTGGACCAGCGCCTTTTGACGTATCCAAGGACTCAAGAGCATGCAAGATTTCTTTGAGGGATAAATTGTTAACTGTAATATCCGTTTCTTATTTACAGGGGTTATCGAATACATTTTTCCTATTAGACAGCTGGGGCGACAACAATAAATGCATCCTTTGCAGTTTTACAAAATTGGGTTTTTTCGCCTAATAAACATAAAGCACTGCGGCCGGTACGGGTTTCGCTGTGCGAGGTAAAAAGTGGTAACGAGTAGAGAGACTGAAGTAGAGACACAGAAGGTGTGCTTCTTTAAGCGTAATTATAATTTGCTGCCTGTGGGATATGTATGTAAATTAGCTATGGGTTTGTTCTCATGCTACACCATCCCCCTTAGAGAGAATAATGTAACAGGGTGGAATTATTCAAACATAAATGGTCTTTCCCCAATTGTCTCGAACATTTTTATTGCTTGTTGATTTTGTTCTTTTTTCTTTTTTTTTTTTTCTTTTTTTTTTTTACTTTTTTATTTTGCCTAACCGAATTTCGCACTCTCAGTGACATTGAGAACTTTCACCCATTCCATTTTTTTACTATT